GAACTATGGTCAGAATCATCTAATGGAATTAGTGCTTGCCTAGTAAAATCAGTTGCAATAAGGTGAGGGGATGGAGAGAGAGAGAGAGAGAGAGAGAGGCTGGGGAAATGGATGTAAGTATTGATTCAGTTATGGGATTAGAATAAGGCTCATTCAGAGAAGTAGATGTGGGATGAGATTGAGAGCGAGACGCAGTATTTGAGGTTGTGGGTGAGAATGAAGAGGTAGGAGATTAAGACTCAGTATTGGAGATTATGGGTGAGATTGTAGTTGCATGTCTCTACTACCCGATTACTTTGTTGTTTGTCTTATCGCTTTCATCCATGTCTTTGTTTTGATTCGTCGAGTCTCTTTCATAATTTTATTTCTCATGTTTGGCATGCATAAAACTTTGGCTAGATTTGATCTTGATCTAAATGCTCTTTGATTAATAGCATATGATAGTGAAATAAAATCCCCCTGTGTTTTTGAACAAATTTTATTTAAAGTAAAATCTTAAAAAGCTTTTGAAAACTGAAATTTTGAGATTTTACCAAATTGATTTGAATCAGACAATTTTACACTGGATTCGTGATTCTGATCAAATTGGACAGTAGCTTAACTCAAAAATTTGATCTTGGTCAGATTTTTCACTTGATCCTGATCACTTTCCTGAGAACTTATTTTGTCTGATTTGACTCAAATCAAAATTTGTGCATGATTCAAATCAATTTCATTTTTCACAAATCATGTTTGATTCAAATCAAACTTTAAACATGATTCGAATCAAATTATTTTGCCTAAAAATCATGTCAGTTATGGGCAATTTGATTCAAATCATTTTTTGTTCATGATTCGAATCAGAAGACTTGTGATTAAAATCATGTATTCATTGATTTGAGTCAACTGGCATGTTTTTCAAAAATTGGGCATTTCTTTCATTTCACTCCATTTTTGCTCATTTGATTCAAATCATATTTTTCTTGATTCGAATCTAACTACCTTTTTTCAACTATTTTGTGTGCTTCATCTCAAGCATATATAAATCATTTCTGTCATCATTGAAATATAACATACATCATTCTGTCATGATTTTTTAGTGTTATTTTGTGTGAAAATCAATTTCCACTATTTTGAGTGTTCAAAATTCTCACATATTCAACTTCAATCGAGTTTAGATCTTGTCAATTATAGTTCTGATATTGATCGAAGGAGACATGTACTTGAAACTAACCGTTCTTGGAGATCTTGTTGAGTTTTCAGGTTGTTAGCAAGAAAGAGGGATTGTCAATAGTGGTGACAAATTCCATTGAAAAGAAGTAGATTCTTCTCTCCAGCATTACCTTAATAGTAAATATGTGGAAGGCTACAAATATGGAAGAGTTCTTCTCAGATCTTCAGACAATATCATTGCTCAGGGGATCGGTAGGACCAAGGGGTTGATAGCTACACACGAAAGCTTGGAGCAGAATTGGTGTTATTGAAAGGTTCAAGAAACGTATTTGAGTAAAGATTACATAGAAGAGTTTGGCAAGTTTGCTAGATACAAGTCAAGATCCAAATTAGGAAATTTATTTTCTCAATTGTAAATCATGGATTGGTAATTGTATGAACCTCTTGGAAATATTTGTCAAATAACAAGGATCTATGCAGGTTCCAATAGGTAACCATTGAAGAGTGCACGTAGGCAAGCGAGGACAGACACTAAAATACTATAAATCTTGGTTTCATCTTTCTAACGCTACTCTTGTATTTATATTTTGTAGTGATTGCATGCTAGATTTTTCAATTCCACCGTATTATATCGCTTTGTTCTTGATAGCGCTTAATTACGTAAACCTTAGGTTTTGTTGGAATTGGACAACTAGTCAAGCTAGTAATGTGATTGATAAATCTGAAAACAAATTGAATTTAGTAATCCACATAGAATCAATTGTGTACACTTCTTGTGACTATATAACTTGAGTTAACTCATACCAAAAGTTTCATTGTTTGTAATCTTTAATATTTGTGAAACAAACTGTGTGTTTGCTTGATCATAATGAATTTTATAATATTCATTTTTTCTTTAAACACTGTGCGACTCATTTAGAAAATAATCCGATGTTAGAAAATGGAAGTTGCATTTGTTTAATTTTGGTTTATTCACCCCTCTAGACCGTTTTTCTATTTCTATATTCACACCCAACAATTGGCATTAAGAGCCTGTCTTTTGATTGTGTCTAATCGACATCCAAAAATTTATGAGTATGTCAAAAGACAAAGATCCTAAGGAAGCGTATAATAGAGTACCCGTTTTCAAAGGAAAAAATTGCACATATTGAAAATCAATCATGTATGTACACTTATTATCTATTGACAAAAATTTGTGGTGCGCCGTCACCGAAGGACCATATACTCTCAAGGGCCATAAATGACGTTGTTAAACACTCTAAAGATTGGACTAATGATGAAACCAAAAAGACTTCATATTATTTAAAAGCGAGGAACATAATCATTTCAGCACTAAGTGCTAAAGTGTTCTATTCGATTTCACATCATACGAGTGATAGAGGTATGTGGGATGCTCTTCAAACTCTTTATGAGGTAACAAACGACGTCAAAGATTCTAAAATTAATATGTTTACATAGAGTTTGAACTATTGTATATGAAATTATGAGAATGCGTGAATTCCATAAAAATTAGATTTCTCCATTTGATCAACAAACTGCAAGACATAAATAAACTTTTTTTTAACAAAGATTGTACCAACAAAATATTAGATCTATGTGCTGAGAGTGACGATTAATAATTTAAAAAACTACAATGTTTAATATTTTTAATTCAATTAATTAAAATAAAACGAAATAAATATAGATTGTAAATGTCTTACATTTAGTATAATTTAAGAGAATAAAATGAAATAAAAAAAATAAGTGACCAAAATAATACTCAAAAGCAATTTAAAATATTAAAAGTATAATTCAGCTTTTTTTTTGTATTCCTATCTTAAAAAGAAAAGATTGGAATGGAATATGATGATGATCACATTCACAGGAAAGTGGTCCAAAAGGAACAAAGTAACGCTCGCTAGCATTCCGATCACGAGAATCTGACAAAAACATGAACATCACATTTCGAATCATATCGTATTCTTGTTTCTGTCCATTTTCTGTTGCAGGATATTTTTACATTTCGTAACTGTTGAAAATTGAAACCATACATACATACAGGTCAAACTTTGTAGCACCTTACCAACTACCAAGGTAACAAAGTTTTATAAATAACTAAACAAGGCGATGGATTTACTAAACTGCCATTCTTAACTATTGCTATATTAAGAAAATGTGCTACTATGATTAATAGTTAATAATAATATATATAGAATGATAATTTGTTAAATATTTACCTATTTATTTTGTGACTTCTACATGAGCTCCAATCATATAAACCAATATGTTATCCATAGCTTAAATATAAATATAAATGGCTTAATTTCTATGAGGTTATGATGCATGCTAAAAGCCACCCATAAAATATCCATGCTTGAGGGAGATGCTTCAAATTTCAAATAAAGAAACATGATAGGGCCCACAGATGACCACTTAACCTATAAACAAATCGATTAAAATAAAAGCAGCCAAGGAATGCAACAAAACCAATTAAAAAATATAAATCGGAAAAATCAAGGTAGTTTATAAGATTCTTCTTGTTGCAGCAACCAAGGGTGTAGACAGTGAGACACTGTTGTCCGATTTTGATTTTTAATTCTTCTTCTTATTCCTCAACTTAAGTCACAGTTAAATAGCCCGAATTAATTGCTTTTATTTTTATAAATAATTTTATCTGGACAATTATGGACCGAGGTGTTTTAATTAGATAAAATAAAAATGAAAAGTAAAATATATCTCCTCATATATGATGGATGATGTTGACGAGTTTAATGTGATTTCCCTTGTTATCTAAGTTTCATTATTTTTCTCTCTCCCAAATCTTCATTGAGACAATGCCCCATCACTGCAGATCCAAATCCCCATTTTCTCTGCTTTTCATTCTCCCATCCCACCACAATCTCAATTTCACTTTTTCATTTCAATGACTCTCACCTTCACTTTTCTACATCCGGTGCGCCATTTTTCTAACCTGAAATCATACTTCTTCTTCTTATCCTTTTTTTTCCCTCTCTCTCTATAATCCACTAGTTGTATTCACTTTTTTTTGTATGGTTGAGCTTTCATTTCTTCATTGCTACTCTAGAAGGACGATTTCGGTTTCTAATCTATTTGACTTTTGTTTCTTTCTTTCTTTCCTTCAATTGCGTTTTTCAAACGTCAATTTGATTTTTATTTTACCCAAATCACTCTCTTAGATTCATTATTCTTATACATGTGATTTCATACTCTTGTTTTTTACTGCAACATTTTTTTTTAATTTTCTATCATTGAATGCTCACTCTGATACTGTTATGTACTTCTCTTTCATCGCTGCAATTTCATTAATTTCGAGTTAATTCTGTTTTTTAGGTATCAAAATAATAGTTTGTTTTTGTGCACTTGAAATGTTAGTTTCTGTTTTGTGACAAAATGTTTGGATTTGTATCCCAGTTAATTAATATTCATGCTTATCCGAAAATCCATCATAATTTACCTTCTTGATGAGTAGATTTTCATTTTGACTCTAATTGTTTGTAGTTGTGATGTATTTGCTGATTTTGTTTGTTTATTTGATTGTAGGAAGACGCGGATCATGTCTCTACGATTCAAGAATCGTCTGGTTGAACTCAATGATTCTATTTTTCTAGGTATGCATACAAGTTATCTAGAAAAATGAGTCCAGCTATTAACTTAACTGTTCTTTTGTTTCCAGGGAAAAGTCGAAGTGAAATCGGTTATCTCTTTTTAGTGTAATTCTTCTTTGAATATACATTAAAAGTAAAAAAAATTGTTTGATGTAGGTTGTTCTTCCTTTAAAATTGGAGGGTACCATGCTATAGGTTGAATGATTGAAATTGAAACCTCCTAGTCCTACTACATTATCATTTATGGCATTATTGGGTGCAAATGTTCAATGCAATGACAATTTTCCGAGATACTATTCGACTAGGGAGCTCATCTTTGACTCTGAAGGCAGCACATGGACCTCATCTAATGTTAATAATGAACTAAGGACTGATTTCTGTCACATGGGACCCTTCCCATTATCATCACCTTCTACCCTTTTAGGCTATAATCAGGAGCTTGTGAAGCAGACAATACTCAAGCATGAAGCCATATTTAAGGATCAGGTATGTTAACTTGATGATTTCTAGTCTTTAGTTAGATTATCCTCGGTTTTTTGTCTGTTTTTTTTTCTGCCAAAAAATGCCATGATTGTTTTATTATTGAAATGTGTGATTTGTAGTGTAATTTGCTTAAGCCTTTGTAGTCTACTTTGCTATTCAAGAGTAAACTACTTTGTAGCACTGACCCCTCTGAAAAGAGGCGACTCCGTGTCCATGTCAATGTCAGGCACCGACACCAACACTTGTGATTATGTTTAATTTAATCATTTTTTTTAATTATTACTGGTGTCAACGTGTTAGTGTTAGTGTTAGTGTTGATGTCGTGTCCGGTGTACGTGTTTGTATTTGTGGTCCGTGCTTCAAATGCATTGAGATGGCAGTAAGAAGAGTTAAGAGTTATCAATAGTCTTTAATGAGGTAGTTGGTTTTGGATGAATAAAGTATGAATGAGTTTGACTAAAGGAGCAAAGGGATAACCTTATTCAGTTCAATCAAAATAACTTTTAAGAAGTAATTATCATAATTCATTAAATTACCATTCTTTGTTCCTTGCTTATAGTTGTTTGTTGCTGTTTATGACGATGTGGCTCTTCATTATTCTCGAATACTCATCAAACTCTTTTGTTTTGTATGTCTCTGAATTGTACATTGCTCTTCAGATTCGTGAGCTCCACCGTGTTTACCAAAAACAGAGGGAATTAATGGATGAAATTAAAAGGAGTGAATTGCAAAAACAAAATGTAAGGTTGGAGGCATCATGGTCTAGTTCTGCTTTGTCATCTAAAAACGCCGAAAATAAATTTTGCACACCAAACCTGCCCTGGTCAGCCTCTCAATCATCTGCTTTATTTGCTGAAAGCATCCGGTTGCCACCGGTTTTTACTCAAGAAAAAAACAGGCATATTTTTCCTGCTCATGCTTCAACTGTAACCGAAGAATCTTTAAAAGATTACAAACTACCAGAGTCCAAATGTAAAAAAATCGGGAAAAAGTTGTTGGATCTTCAACTTCCTGCCGACGAGTACATTGATAGCGACGAAGGTGAAGAGAATGTACCGTTTAAGCTTGACTTAAATGTACCATGTAGGCTTGAAGTAGAGCCAGCTGCAATGTCTAATGATGCGGAGGGCCCTGCACATCATATGAACAATTGTTTGTATGATCTATCATTGAGAACAAAATTCGGATCTCAAAATTTACGCGTTGATGTCATCAACAAAAGACACGATCTTGAAGGAAGCTCACATAATCAACTGCCAGAAAATGAGAAGAAATGTGAATGGAAGTCCTCAGGTAATAGTCGTATTCAAATTTTTATTACTCTTTTTATTTTTCAGATTTTTCAACTGCAAAATATTGCCAGTTCGTGCATATACACAATTATAACTGTATAGTTTTTTATTTGCTTTTCAGGGTTAGTTGGTGGCTTGTTTGATTCTTTTGCTAAAGGTATTAATACCGAAAAGCAACCTGTTTCAGTTGATTCACTTAGTAAGAATATGGAGCAATTTGATGACCTTTCATGTTTCCATTCATCGCATCAAATTAACCGAGGACCTTGGACAAAGAGAAAGTTTTGTAGCAGTGAGAGCTCTGCACAGACTCAATGTCCTACAAGTAACGGTTTGATTAAGGCAATGGGGTTGCCTTGTCTTGAAGAAAGTAAAACCTCAACCCATATTGAATCTGTCAATTTAAATCCTTATGATACAGGAGTTATACGAGGTTTGAGATCAAGGGAGATTGGAGAAAGTAACTTAGGTACAGAGAAGGCTCTTGCATTTCACAGCATCGGAAAGCCTTGCATGTCATCTGGTCCACATTCTCTTCATGACTTCGCTACCGAATTCTTCCAAAACCAATCCAAAAATCAAAGGATTGAGGAAGTCGAAAAAGGCTGCATTTCTGTTGTAAAGTCACCTTGTATTGATGTGCCTAACTCGGGGGAACTGATTCCCTCAGGTGAGCATTTGACTAAGAATGAGAAGGAGCAGGAATTTTTGGCAGGTATTATCGACCTAAATTCAAGTATGATTGAGGACGAGAATATGCCGATTGATGTTGATTTTCATGCACCCACGAGTCCAGAGAACAAGGAATGCTCTCCACCCAGAGGAGAATCTGATGAAAACCAGCTTGTGACACCCTTTCAATTTACAAAACATGAGGATCACCATGTGCAAGAAGAGCAAACCAGAATTGCAGCAGAAGCTTTGGTTTCCATATCAGGATTCGTAGCTCAAAAAGACATCCAAATGACAACTTGTTCATCATCTGAATTGTTTATGAATAATCCTCTCAACTGGTTTGCTGCAATTGTTTCAACAACAGTGGATCATTTAGAGAATGACTATGAAACCGATTTCAACGATAAGGTTAATGGTCTCAAGGAGTTTCTGTCTGATGAAATGGATTACTTCGAGTTCATGACCTTAAATTTGACAGAGAAAGAGGACCTAGATTGCTGCTGTAAGAGTATTGACCAAACCGAGCAAATTGGTGGATCGATTTCACCAACTCAACCAAGGAAGAGTGTCCGAACAAATAGGGGAAGGTGGCGAAAGGATTTTCAGAGTGAAATCCTTCCAAGCATTGCTTCTTTGTCAAGGTATGAGGTAACTGAGGACCTTCTGACTATTGGAAGCCTTGTAAGTGCTGGTACTCACTTCGAGACGTGCTCTCAAAGAAATGCACATATTCATGTACCAAGTAGGGGGAGGAGAAGATCATGTACTTCAACCTCTAACACTAAAGACACAGACTTGTTGAACTTGAAACAAATAACTAGCATCACTAAATTGGGAATTGAGAAAAGGGGTCTAATAAGTTGGGGAAAGACGTGTAAAAAGCGGAGAGGGAAGAGATTTCGCATCACTAAACCTTGGTTTATTTGAAGCTAAGTATAGAACTAATTCTTAGACTATGTTCATTGACATTGGATGAGATTTTTATGAAGTATAGAATGATTTGTAAATGTCTTAATATACAATATAGTAACTGAAGGATAGAAAAAGAACTCTATATTGTATATCCTGGTTTTTTTCTTGGGATTGAATCCATTATATACTCTCATTGCAGGAGATAGAATAGTTTTTATCTTGTTTGGTTGTTGGAATGAGATACCAGAAGGTTATCCATGGGAGGTGCAGTCATGCCTACTTTATGCCAACCTTGGCTAAAAAGAAATGTGATATCAGTTTTGATTTATTAGAGTTACACGTGCTTGATAAAACTGGAAAAAAAATCATGCTAAATTAAAGTGTTCAATGTGTATTAGTAAAATATACGCAATAAAATAAGTTTTAGTTTTCTGGCAGTTTACAGTAATCATAAGGATTTTATAATATTATCTAATCAAAAGTTCTAATGAAAATTTATGAGTAATGTTACAGGTAATATACAAATAATATATAAGAATAACAATAATGTTTAAATAGGTTTTCACGGGTTATGTGTGCAACATGAAATATTTCAGTAGAAGTCTTACCATTTGGGTTTATCAAATTCATGAGGTTATCTATAATAACTGCAATCATCTAAAGACACTGATGGTCACCGACATCAGTTACAGGAGGCGGTGGCACGTCATCAACAAGTACCCCAGCATCGGAAGACCCAACATCATCTATATGATCAACAAGTGGGATAATGCGAGAGTGTGATACAGTGAGTGTTGTACCCCAAAATTTGACCAACATTTTCTTCTTAACTTGGTTTATGTTTTATTTCATTTTAGCATTTGCATTTGCATAGTATTGTTCTTAACAGGGGATCAAGAGGTGTATTGTGCCATTTAAGAGGAGGGTCTCTTTGGTTTCAAGCTCAAGCAAAAGGCCTTTGTGCAAGTCATCAGGGTTTCATCATCTTGGAGAGTTTCATAGCTTCTTGAGAAGAGGTTTAGGTGTGGATGTCATCTCTTATCTTGAGGATCATTTGAGGGTCATCAGAGGACCGTCAGAAGTTCATGAGGGAGTGTTCTTGGTTAAGACATGGTTTTTAAATCTCATTGAGTACCTTAGGGGTCATTATGGAGCTCGTGCAATCATTTAATTCATCTGCAAGAGCCATAGACAAAAGGACTTGGAATTAGGGTTTCATATGGTCAACTCAAGGTCAACTATGGACTTGAGAGGTTTCCAACTGGATTTCAAGTCACACAAGCCATGGGAAGTCACCTTAAAGCATTTGAGATGTCATGATGAGATCACATCAAGAGGAATCAAGAGTTCAAGAGGTTACTAAATTAGGGTTTCAGATGATCTCAGTGTAAAATCCCCTTCTTTAGTGTCTGACTTCAAGGACAATTTACCCCATGATGCAAGCTCAATCTTATTTTCATGAAAACATGAGACTTGTAGAGCATTTTCTTAGCTTTCTTTTGAGTACAAGAAAATATTCATTGAGTTTGTACATCTCAAGTTATGATGCCAACAAGTTAGGGGTCTCAGATGAATAGAATTTTGGTCAACAAAAAATCAACTCACTTCCAAGGCATTTTTGACCTAGAAGAAAGTTTCTCCTCAACTTCAAGTGAACATGAAAGTTGTTCCTCATGGTCTTAGATTTTCAAAAAGTCCTATAAATCCTTGATATCATTTGCACATCTCAAGTTATGGACCTCACAAGGAAGAGGTATTTTGGGAAAGTTTTATTATAGGTCATTTGTTCCAATGGTCAACTTCATGAACTTATGTACCTCAAATGCAATTCCAACCAACATGAAACTTGTTCCTAAGAGTATTATATTCATCATTCAACTCAAGATTCATGGAGATTGTTGAATTATATGGCCATGTAGGAGGTTTTTAAGGTGAAATTTTGATTTTTGGTCATGGCATGAACTTGGTACATTATAGGTCATATTTGCTACTCATTTTGAGTCATTTTACACCAACACATGATCATGAAGAAAATTACCACAAGTGGACCAACACAAAATGCCACAAAATGCCTCATTTTCAAATTTCCTTCCATAAAAGTTTTGATTTCAAACTTGAAGTATGGATCAAATACAAAGCCCAAACCAATTAAGCTCACATGTACACTTCACACACTTCAAATTACTGATCTCATGTGGTGTGGAAAAGGTAAAAACGCGTGTGGTGTGCATGAGGAAGAGTCTCATTTTGGGCATTTTTTCAAATCACTCTAAATAGCCAATGATCCGCTGTCGCGCGCGGATCAAAACGAGTGTTTTTATAAAAACGTAATACAGCGACAATTAAACTCGGATATCGTCTCAAGGATTCTTGTTTGTGATTAATCTACCGAAATCGAAATGGGGGGGGGGGTGGTTTGGTTTCTGATTCAGAAAAAAAAGTGATTATTAAAATAAGCTGTTGTGAAAAAGTGATTATGAAATAAGTCAATCTACCGATTCGGTTCCTACTATCATCGATTACTATAATATTAATATTTTACGCGTTCATTCCTATTTGGGTACAAGCTCAACGGCAAGCGCGATAAGGATTGCAAGATATATGATCCTATTGTCCGAATTAAGCAAACGGTAAAAAGCTTCATGAATTAAGTAAACATGATTATTCAGACACAAAAACGAATTAAGCAAACGTAAAAGTGTCTATGTTAGGATCATACAATCAACCAAATTAAATCAATATATTTCATACAATTGAATTAAGCATACAAGAGTACAAAATCATTGAACGGAATTAAACAGATAATAATATTATAATAATCTCAAGTGTTGGAACCTGAATTACGGTAGACCGACTCAGAGTGATTAGTTCTCCATAGAATTCGTAAAAAGCTCCACAATATTTTTTCGTGAATAGTGAATTACATGATAACGTGAACAGTAACACGATGTTCTTTTTAAATGAAATTCATAACCCAACTGGGTCGAAAACATAACCCAGGCCCAAAACATGACCCAAAACTAAAACAATATCCTAATGATGCAATTTCAATGAAAATTCTGGGAAAATGTGCTCCGTATATGACTTCGACTCCAACACGAAAGTCATAGCTCTATCTCTTAGCTTTCCGGAGATTTTTAGAACGCCTCAAACAGATTCCCGGAATTCCAGTTATGATCGTTTCCGTGCAGACTGCTAAAGTTGAAAAATAAATACGGAAAACAAATAAATGCAAAAATAAAATAAAATATAAAAACACCTTAAAACATAAAAATAAATAAAACAAATCAAAGAAATGCTTGAGTACAAACATGGAAGAACGCGCATCAAAATGCACTGATCAAATTTCCCCACACTTGAACTTTTGCACTCCGAGCAAAATGAAAAACAAATCAAATCAAAACAAAGAAACTTCAAAACAAAAAATGAAACAAAACATGCAAACTCAAAAGTTATCAGGATACAAGATGCAAACACACTTCTAAGTCTAAGCTTCAAGACATGGCATTAGTGAGAAATTCAACTGTGACATTCAAAGTAAGTATGAAAAATAGATCACCACAAAGTACATCAAAAGTATCAAGATCCTCACAAGATAAACTGTTTCCACTCAACTCTCAAGTGTTTAGGTTACTGTTTACACTCAAAGCACAACATGAAAGTAGTACTACCATAAGCTTGAAAAGACTCTAACGTTCACCATTGAAATACATTGCACACAAAGATCAAAAAGACTTTTATTATGGTTGTAATTTGGTCAAGGTCAGGGTGAGATATATCCTAAGGGGTACTAAGCTAAAATTCAAAAAGTTAAAAGAGGATTGAAGGAATTGCAGGAGTTGAACTACAAAACATCTCAAAGGGAAATTCTATTGAACAACAAACTCACAACTTATTTCTCTTCTCTTTTTCCTTTTATTCTTTTTTTTTCCAGAAGGATTAATATTGACAACCTTCTCTATTTTTTCATTTTTCATTCTTTTTTTTCTTTTTCTATTTTTTTCTACCAACATCATAATAACATTATAATAACAATATAAACAAAATGTTCAACCCCAAACAACTCCATACAAGACTCTTCCAACCCCTTGAATAGGGTGATAATATTGTTTTTCACTTTTCGGCTTGTAATGAGTTTTAAACACACACAAAAAAAGGATAATAGGCTCAAAGGGGTTTACAAACAAAGGGAAAATATTGTTAAGGTTGGTTTTTTGGCTAACTGGTTAAAAAAACAAAATAAACAAAATTGCCTTTATCATGTCAGTGTGCACAAGTAAACAAACAACTTCAACAAGAGTCAGTTTAAGTTCTAGAGACGAACAAACATGAGTGAAATCACACAAGAAAGAAAAAGATGCATTTTTTTATGTGTTATCCATTATTAGGCTCAAAGTCTCACAAGGGTTAGTGATCTATCACTAATGATGTACAATTTAGATTTTAGTCAGACATATATACTAAAAATGCACAAAAATAAATAAATCACATCATACCACAAGTCTTTCGACCAAGATAGAGAGAATATTCACAGATGTAGCAGAATAACCAACAAGAAAACATGCAATTTCACTTTTTTTATTCAATGAAAACAAACAAACAAAAGCAAAAGGTTCCCTCCCCTACACTTAAGACATACATTGCCCTCAATGAAAAGAACTCAATTATAAAGTAAGAGTGAGAGAAAGGAAAAAGGTGCTCCCTGGTCAAGTTGCAGTGTAGTTGGGCGCTTTCAAAGAAAGCTCCTCTATGCTGACATCTTCAGGCACCGAACTCCATGGAATAACTTCAGACGCTGCCCGTTAACCTTGAAGACTTTGTCAGTACCTGCACTTTTTATTTCTACTGCACCATGAGGGAAAACATTAGTAACAACAAAGGGGCCAATCCATTTGGATCGAAGTTTCCCAGCCATAAGCTTAAGGCGAGAGTTAAACAATAAAACTTGTTGACCCACATAAAATTCCTTCCTAGAAATCATCTTATCATGGAAGTGCTTAGTTTTCTCTTTATAA